TGACCTGAAGAGAGGAAATGAGGTAGTCTTGTTGCTCTTCCTCCTCTTCCAACTACTACTTCACTCCTACGCCTCCTACTCTCTCCTCCTCTTCGCCCTACTCCACTTCTGCTAACTCGTCCTGGTCACCTTCCTTGCTCCTAGACTCCTCCTCCTCCTCCTCCTCCTTCCTCCTCCTCCTCCTCCTCTCTTCCCCTCCTCATCCCCTCCTCCGCACCGTCCTGGGATCTTGAAACATGCTGTTCAGTCCTTGACGAGCCCTTGCGGCCATCTCCCTGCCCTCTCCTCCATCTCCGAACGATGCCGCATGCTGCATGGGAGGAGGAGGCTGCTGCAGCAAGACGGTCAGCCCCCCTCCCCTCGTCCTCGTCCTCGTCCTCTCTCCTCCTCCTCCTCAACCCCCAGTCTCCCCTTCTTCTCCCCCTCCCTCTTCCCTCCAGCTCGGCCTCACCAGGTTATCGGGGGGGCGCTGTGACGGAAGCGCAAACTCCAGCGGCGCCTCTCGCGCCATGGCCTGGCTCCTTATTGCTGACTTACTCTGCATCTGCATCCTTAGTTCTTCGGCGTACGCAGCCTTCTTCCTCTGCTGCTCCTCTGCCTCCTGCGCCAGAGCCTGCCGGGCAGAAGTCGCCTCCTTCCGGTCGAAGGGTCCTCCTGAGGGAGGTAAGCAGGGACAAGGCGGGGAGGGAGAGAGGGAGGGAGGGAGGGAGGAGAAGGAGGAGGAGGAGAAGGAGGACACAAGAATCAGGAACGAAGAGGTGGGAGAGGAGGGGGAGGAGGAGGAAGAAGGAAGGGGAGCAAGCAGGAAGGTGGAGGGAGGGGACAATACGAGGTAGAGGAACAAAGAGGTGGAGAGGAGAAGGAGCAGAAGCAGAGATAGCAGGAGGAGGAGGTGGTGGTAGGGGAAGATGAACAGAAGGAAGAGCAGGAGCAGGATTGGAGAAGGAAGAGGCAGAAGAAGAAGAAGAAGAAGCAGCAGCAGCAGCAGCAGCAGCAGCAGCAGCAGCAGAAGCAGCAGCGGAAGCAGAAGCAGCAGCGGAAGCAGCAGCAGCAGCAGCAGCAGCAGCAGCAGCAGCAGCAGGATTGGAGGAGGAGGAGGGAGTAAGGGGGGAGAGGATCGTTCGAG